TAAGGTAAGTCTGCTACCACATGTAGGTTTAACTGATTTAGGTTAAATTAGTTTACTGAACTTCCATCCCAGATCCCTTCCAGATTCAAGTTCTCCGTCCTCTGTATCCCAGGATGCTTTGCACCTCCCCTGCAAGCCCCTCCCTCACAGGGTGGGCTGGCTAGCTTTGGTCCAGGCTGTCTGCTCCAGCCCAGCAGGAAGACATGCTCTAGCAACCTCCCTGGTCTCCGGCCTGGGCCACTGCAGGCACGTGGCTGCATTTCTGGAATCAAAAAATGAATGTCTGTTTGCTTAACTTATCAGATCAATCTATGCAGCTTGGATTAACCTGTGAAGATTAAATCAATTCAGCCTTGGGCTTTTTGACTGTCTGTATTTAGCCTTTGGGTTCATTTTCAGTGTATAGTTAACATGAGTTATAATTTGAGTGTTGCCTCTGAATCAGTTTCCGCCTCCACACAAAAAGAAAAGGACCTCTCTACTTGCCCAACATCTCCTCTTTGCTGGCCTCATCACCTGCTAGCACAGAGGTATCAGACACCCTTGGCTCTACAGTTGGATATGGACAATGGGGGCTTCTTGTGAGCCAGATTCAGACCCATCACCAGAGATGGGGTGAGCTTTAGTGGCATTAACTACCACAAGTTCCTAAGCTAATTTCAGCTCAGGGATCTGCAGGGATTAATACCGCCATTGCTCACCCTGCTGCCACCAACATGCCCCCTCAGCAGGGTTCTGTACCTTGGAATTGGGTGGCAGCCCCTCCCCCCACAATTCTGAGCCCCTCCAGAAGCCTCAAAGGCTGGAGGACAGCTCCTCAGGTCATATATTTGACACTCCTGGGAACCATTCTTCTGTGCAGACATGGGCTACGTGACTGGCTGCTGCTAGTTCTTCAATACCCTCTGACAGTTTTGCCTTGCGTCTAGAAAGGACAAACATTTTCCCAGAATCCACTGTGGAACTTCATAGAACAGCTTGGCTAACTGCAGTAGCAGAGAGAACCAGCAGGTACGCGCCCCGGAAGGATTTGTACCCCACACGCGTGACAATGGAACCAGTGCTGACCAGTAGTTTGAATGCCATTTTGCAGTTGTGTCTACTCTCCTTTGAGCAACCTCAAAGTTGGTCTCTCAAGGTCAGCTAACTCTATAGTAGTGTCAGACCCAGAGTGAGAGACAACGGTCTCTCCCTAAAGAGTTTACAGATTAAATAGGACAAATAAAGGATGTGAGAGAAGGCAGAGATCTAAAAAAGGTGATTGATGGATTTAAAAAAAGTCAAATTTCCAGTTGCGCTAGTTATCAGGCCATGTGTGAACCTTGACTAACTTATTCTGAAATTAATTTTGAAAGAGAAAGATGTAAAAGGCAGTACATAAAAAAAACCCAAGAAGTAATGATAAAAATTGCCCTGGGAGACATATGCTGGGCCTTTCTTTGCCCATCTCCTTTCATGGACACAGGTACATTGCGTGAAGTAAGAGAACACAGAACTGGGCAAAGTTCCTCAATGAGAGGCCTGGCGATTGTCAGAATTCCCTTCAGAACAACCTTTTAAGAGTTTCTCTACTCTATATATTATTTTTGCCCCCCCCACATACAAGCATCCCTCCTAGCTGAGGCAAGCTAGAGACAGCACAACCATGTATCACTATTATCTAAGCAATGCCTTTTATTCATGGTTTAAAAAACAAAACAAAAAAAAAACCCCCAATGAGTAGTCAGTCTCTAACTAGGGTGTTATGAGAATCGCTGACTCATGAGCAGCATATACATATCTAAACTTTACAGGTCAAAAGGTGTAATTATTTGTATTGTGGGAGTGACGATAGTTATACTCATATAAACCTGCGTGTGGACATAATGAGCCTGATATGAATCTGTCTTGTGCTGTTTTCATTTTGAACACCTGCTGTACAATAATAAAAGGTGTACCAGTGTACATAGGTATACTTGTTTGAAAGTGTTTTCACACTACCGTAGCTGTACTGATTTAGCCAGCACTTAAAATAGTACCACTATTTTGTGCATAACTAAGCCAACAGGTAAAGGTTTAATTTCACTCATTACTGAAATATAGAATTCCCTCTGTTCTGTACTGGAACACAGCAATGTTTTAGGTCCAAGGGTTTTGGAAAACTTATTTAAAATCATAACAGTCAAAAGGAAAGTATTATTAAGCAAATATAGATTGTCCACAGGCCAGGAAGATTAAACATTCATATCTATATGTAAAGTGCTTTTGGAAATTTAATGACCATTGTTGAGAAAGAGATACAAGATCAGATGCAACCTCTGTTTCTAGCATTAGTCCCTGATAAGTCATGCCTGCGTTTGTCCAGGAACAAAAAATATTCTGGAATTGGCATGTACATGTATCACCCTTCTAATCAGGACTTAGTGAGCAGTTGAATGTTGTGCTGCTTTTTCCTCATTGTTTCAGTTATGCAATCCTGGAACTGTACAGGTGTACTTTGCAATATTCCAAGTACAACTGTTACTACGTCCTATCCAGGAAATGGTTTTTATGGTTTATTCCAGGACAATGGATAAGGGCGGCTGTATGATTGGATTTGTCCTCGGATAAATGTGATATCTGTTTGCTGCCCCATAGATTTCAGTGCGAGTGGCTACAAGCTCACGTTTAGAATGATTCAGAGACAAGAAAATGAAAAGGAGAAGGCAGTGAAATATCAGTGTTATGTATTTGTAAACACTCAAGTTTCTCCTGATCAAGGGAGGATGAATTGCTCAGGCAAGTACTAGGCAGCAAGAAGAACAGAAGCAGAATGTTGGCACCTTTGTCCAAGACTGCAGGCCAGAAAGTTCCTGCTTGGCAGATGCCTGTCTTTGCTTGGAGCCTCCCTGTTTGACTTGCAGGCTTCCTGGACACCTGCAGCTCCACACTGACTGTGCGCCCAGAACAGCTTCTCTTTGCAGTTCTGATTCAGGCACACTTCAGAGAGGTCGGAGTTCAACCTCACCCCTATACTCAGTGGGCATGTCTACATGTGTGCTTTAATGCACAGTAGCTTATTTTACTGAGCATTAAAGGCCCATGTAAAAAACTGTGCGATTACACTAATGTGCAGTAAAATAGGCTACTGCACATAGCATCGCTTAAAACCTCTGTGCATTCGTTACTGTGTATTAAGGCAGGCTAATGAGCATTTGTTTAGTACCTCACATTGGAGGTACTAAATTTAATGTGCATTAGAACAAAGTGCCTTAATGTATGTGTAGATGTGCCCAGTGTTTCCTATTGAGTTTGTCTATGTGACTTCTTGCACAGCATCCAAGTTTCTTGGATTGCCCTGCTGAGGCATCCTATTCCTCCTATACATTGAATTGGGAGAGAAAGTGCCCCGTCTCCTGGTTTTGGATTCCATTCTGGGTTCAGCACCTAAAATTTAGGTGTTAGTGCCTTTTCTAAGCCTTCTTTTTTTGGAGTTGGCCCTTCCGGCTCACGTTGCCTGGCTTTTGAGAGCTGGCAGTTTCACAGCACAAATATGGTGGATCTGTTGTCCATTTTGGATGAATTCCTGAGGCAAATTTTCTTAATATCAGATAAAGTTCTATTTCCAAGAGGTCAATGCAGCACTTTGCCCCACTCCAGTAGATAAATAGAGCTATTCTAAAAGTCACACCAGTAATAGCTTAAAAGCTTTCTAGGAGCTCTCAATTCTAAATCCCAGGGGGAGATCAACTGTTCCCATTTCTAGCCCAGTCATTTTTTTAAGCAACAGGCAACAAGATAATTCATATACAAATGTAACAGTTCTGCTTAGAGGAGTGAATCATCTCTTCTATTTTGTTAAAGTTGAAATTAAGTTCAAATACACATTGCTTCAGTTATCCATACAATGAGATACATACTAGTGCAATCCACCAGGAAGTCAATAGTAAAAGTTCAGAATTAAATGTTTTTAGCTGAGTTTTGTTTTTACCTTCCACTCCAGTTGCACCAAGCTTTAAAGTCCGTCTCTGAGCACTTCTTTCTTTCCCCCCTGATTTGTTAGGACGAGGCCAATCTTCTATGCGTCCTTTTAAAAAGAGAAGGCAAAAGTTAAAAAAAAAAAAAAAAGCCTTTGGAGACTCTTGTCCAAGCAGTTTGCTTGTAAGTCAGCAGAGTTGCCCGTCAGACAGGGAGAGAGCCTGTCACTTCCTTATAAGATCTGCTATGCTTTATAAAGATAAAGGGGTGGGGCAAATTGCCTAGCCACATGACTAAACTGGAAGAGTCTAACAGTGTAGGGAGTGAGAAAAAACCTTTGTACCACCTACTGTGCTACAAGGCAGACATAAGTATACTTCATCAAGATGCAAAGCATGTAACTCATTCTACCCCTTTTTCTTTTTGTCATATGGACGTTATGTTAAGCCACGATGTTGAAACAAGGACTTTGGCTTTCTTAGGTGTTTGGATAATAATCAGATCCTTTCCTTCATAAGGAGTAAAATAATAGTTTCATATCTCAATTTTCTGATTTTTTTTTCCCCCCCAAAAAAGGCATAGAAAGCATCGGTTAAGCACTAGCAGGATTCTCAAACTGATGACACAGCATTATTATAATTAGATATTTTCTACACAGCTGCTATAATACTTAGACCAAAAGCTGTAATCCAGCTGCAGGGACATGGCTAGTTGCCAAGGACAACAATAGGTTTTAAAAACTGTGGTTGTCACCAAATCAGGTGCCTACTGCTTGGTAACTGCTCATCCCCTGCTTGTGAAAGACCCTGGGTTGATAAAAACAGAATGACCACCTGGCGTTTACCCACAGAACAAGACCATGGTAGGAGATTTTCTTGCAGCTTCCTTCAAATGCATCTCCACTTTAGGAATAGGAGGTTTCAGTCTGTGCTCTCAGCCAAAAATCACTGCAAGGGGTGTAGGGTTTGTGGCTGGATTTTGGTGAAAGCAGGGCTTCCAGTTTCTTACAGGGGATGTCAACCCTCTAAAGTCTTTCACCACAAACAGTGCATTTCCCGGGAACAAACGGTTCTTGGGTTTGTACTTGTTCTCACTCACGTGCACTCAAGGCTATCTTATAGTTTCATACTTGTAAGGGGCGGGAAGGGACCTTACAGATCATCAGGTTCAGCCCTCCTGAACATGTGCAGGAAAGACTGACCCCAGCAAGATGGGCTACAAGACACTTTTTAAAGATTGCCAGGGTGAGTGACTACCACCTCTGGGGGGGAGCCTGTTCCAAACCTTCAGCACTCAACTTGTAAAGAAGTTTTTCAGTTTATGCCCATTATTTCTTGTCCTCCCCTGGGGGGCTTTAGTGACTAGATGCTCCCCCAGGCCCCAATATGTGCCCCATTATATTTGTAGGCTGCCATCAAGTGCCCTCTGAGTCTCCTCTTCTCCAGGCTGAACAATCCTAAGTCTTTCAGCCTCCACTCACATGATCTGGTCTCTAGGCCTCTGACCATGCACATGGCCCTAGTTTGGACTTTGAGGTTGGGGGGCTGCTTATCAGTCAGAACAGGTTTGTCCCTTTTAGCTACCTTGAGATAGGGGTTGGATTGAGCTAGAAGGGAATGGGTCAGTGAAGAAACGGCAGTTTGAGTGACCTGAGGAAGGACATTTTGTACCCAAAAGCTCACCCAACACTTCTCCCAATTATACACTTGGTCCAATAAAAGATATTACTAAACAAATCCTGTTTCTCACCTTTTATGGATTATCATGGCCACAAATCTTCATGCAAGCAGTGCCGTAGCAAGACGGGGGTGGGATGAACAGGGTGACCACCCCAGGTGCTGAAGAGGAATGCCAACAGGTGCTGCACAGCTGGGTTGGGGCATGGGAAGGAGCTGTGAGCAGTTCATATGGGGGAATACAAGGACAGGGGAAGGATGGTTCCCACCACTGTGTTCACTCCTGGGAAAGCATGGGAGGGTGTGTGCCCCCTAGGTCTGTGCACAACATGAGGGCGGGCTGCTGCTGCGAGCTTTGCCTCAGACACCAAACTTTGTTGCTACGGCACTGCTTACAAGCCTGTCATTTCCTTCCTCTTATTAGTGAGATCTGGCTTCAGAGGAGTAAGAGCAGGCATGAAGATAATATATCGCTGCTTATCAGTAAGCTCTTATTTTATAGCTTGAAGACCCTTCTTGGATATGCTGCAAAGCACTAGGCAGGATGCGTCACATGCAATATTAGATGATACCAAGCCATTTTGCTGTAAGAGAATTCTAGAAAGAAATTTATAACACTGTAGGAAACTTGAGGGAAAAAAAAAGGGATCTCAAACTGCCACTTCACATTCGACTCTATAGCTCTTTGCAGCCAGGTATCCCAAGGCCATTCACGCATAACATACACTATAGGTATTTCATGTCTGGCAGACTGAACACATAGAATCAATGAGTCGGAAGGGACCTAGACAGATCAT